AAGGAGAAGGAGAAGGAGAAGGAGAAGGAGAAGGAGAAGGAGAAGGAGAAGGAGAAGGAGAAGGAGTATTCCCATTGATCCTGCCTTTCCAGTATTCCCATTGATCCTGCCCATCCACCTTATCTAGTCTCCACCCTTTCTTCTACTTCTTTTGGTGATGTCAAACATAATTTTTTTTATTAGTCCACCATCTGTTTACAGTATATCAGCCCAAGGTAGTCTTCTTACCTGGGATTAATCTCCTCTTTACTCCTCCTATTGTCCATCTTCAAATATTCTGGAGGCCAAGAAACCAAACTGCCCACTACCTTCATTTCTTTACTGTCAACAATACCTTTAGTAAGCATTCTGGTTGACACTAGGAAGGGCTTAAGAAATGGCCTATCAGGAAGAGTCCTGTTGCAATCTTTCAGGAATCCACCAAGTCCAGCAACTTCTTTGCAACAGTTAACAGGAGGGGATGTGAAAAATAATCAAGTTGAAGTTGGGATGAAGGGATGATGAAGTTGGTTTCCGAAGGAAGTGAATCCCATGTTGTTGCCATCCATCCATCCATCCATCCATCCATCCATCCATCCATCCATCCATCCATCCATCCATCCATCCATCCATAGGGCTTATAAACTGCTCCAATTAGCCATTTCTGAGTGATGTACAATACCCCAATGTGTAACTGGGATTAAGACACATACAAATCAAATTAAAAACAAAACCATACATTATAACCACAATCTTCAGAACAATAAAAAACAATTCATAATTTGGAGAGATGGTCATAAGAACCCAGACTCTCCAAATGGGTGAAAGAATTTCCATCAATTTTCTAAAAGCCAGGAGAGAGAGGCCATTTTCATGTCAAAGGGGTAGGGTGGTGACTGAAAAGGCATGCTTCCATGGCCTCTGAATATGGCAGTCTCTAATCAGGAGATCTTATTGGGCAAGTTGATGTTACTGGGAGAAGGGGGACCTGCAGATACCCAGCTCTTAAACTATGAAGGCCTTTAAAGGTGAGAACCAGCACCTGAATTGCCCCCAAAATCCAAGTAGCAACTAGTGCAGCTCTCAAAGTAGAGGTATTACATGGGTGCCTTGAGGTGAACCCATAACTACTGGTTCAGCTGTACTTTATGAATGCTCTTCAAAGGCAGCCCCATGGAGAGCTTCTTGGTGCGGGGGCCCCCTTTAGCTCTTGGTGTAGGGTAGCCTTCCTTGACCTAGGGCTCTCCAGATATGTTGGGTTGGTAATTCATGGAAATTCTGAGAGTTGCAGTTCCAACCAATCTGCGGATTACTGAGAGGAACAGCAGTTTAAGCAAGAATTTGGAGTGCTGTGGTTGACATCAAGTCATG